TAGTTGTGCTTTTAAAGTTGTAGCAACGTTTCGGCAGAATCTCATCTGCCATCATCAGGCTTCTGTATAGTGATTCCATCAGACTGTCAATCCTTTGGAAGCCTGCACTCACAAACAAAAAAATCTCCACACCACAAGCCAGGCAAACACCTGGGCACAGACAGATCCCCCCTGATACCTCCAGCTCAAACACACGCCAACCAGGCACCCAGATGAAACCTAGCTTCCTAACTAATGATAGCCGTCCATTTACCCGGAGCCAAGCTGCACTAAAGGCCTCCAATAAAGTAACACAATGTTGCCAGCCAATCAAGATACAAAAAGAGCCAAAAAACAGACAGAAGATATTAGAAACACCAATCAAGCAGAACACAGCAAACTCCAAGACCAATAAACACAGACCAAGACTCCCAATCAATCAGGGTGAAGAAAAAACCATTCTGGCACAGCAATAGGCCGCCCCAAATTTAAATCTGAAACCACTGTAAAAGTCTGACTCACAGATGAACACTATACAGAAGCCTGATGATGGCAGATGAGATTCTGCTGAAATGTTGCTAAAACTTTAAAAACACAACTACAATGACGTGGGAAAATACCCGAACAAAGCCGAATGCCATACATGTAAGTACCCGCGAAAACTTAAGAAAACACACACATATATATATGTATATGTATATGTATATATGTATATGTATGTATATGTATGTATATGTATATGTATATGTGTGTGTATATATATATATATAAATATATATACATATATATATATATATATACACACATATACATATACGCATATACATATATACATACATACATACATACATACACTGCTCAAAAAAATAAAGGGAACACTTAAACAACACAATGTAACTCCAAATCAATCACACTTCTGTGAAATCAAACTGTCCACTTAGGTAGAAACACTGATTGACAATCAATTTCACATGCTGTTGTGCAAATGGAATAGACAACAGATGGAAAGCATAGAGAGTTAGCAAGACATCCCCAATAAAGGAGTGGTTCTGCAGGTGGTGACCACAGACTACTTTTCAGTTCCTTTGCTTTCTGGCTGATGGTTTGGTCACTTGGAATGCTGGCGGTGCTTTCACTCTAGTAAGTCACATGAGATGGAGTCTACAACCCACACAAGTGGCTCAGGTAGTGCAGCTCATCCAGGATGGCACATCATTGCAAACTGTGGCAAGAAGGTTTCCTGTGTCTGTCAGCATAGTGTCCACAGCATGGAGGCGCTACTAGGAGACAGGCCAGTACATCAGGAGACGTGGAGGAGGCCGTAGGAGAGCAACAACCCAGCATCAGGACCGCTATCTCCGCCTTTGTGCAAGGAGGGACAAGAGGAGCACTGCCAGAGCCCTGCAAAATGACCTCCAGCAGGCCACAAATGTGCATGTGGCTACTCAAACAGTCAGAAACAGACTCCATGAGGGTGGTATGAGGGCCCGATGTCCACAGGTGGGGGTTGTGCTTACAGCCCAACACCATGCAGGACGTTTGGCATTTGCCAGAGAACACCAAGATTGGCAAATTCACCACTGATACCCAGCGCTTTTCACAGATGAAAGCAGGTTCACTGAGCACATGTGACAGACGTGACAGGGTCTGGAGACGCTATGGAGAACGTTCTGCTGCCTGCAACATCCTTCATCATGACCGTTTTGGCAGTGGGTCAGTAATGGTGTGGGGTGGCATTTCTTTTTTTTTTTTTTATAAATTTTTATTATTTTTTAAACATAAAAAACACAACAACAAAACATAAAAGTATCAGCTCCCCCATATTTTTGTACACACAGTAAGTCGGTTGGTCCATCGGTTTTGTGCATTCACCTCATAATCACAATTACAGTTACTTTATATAATACTCTTATCAATACAAATTTATAACTCCTAGTATCGCTATTAAAGAAAAAAAAAATTTGACTAAACTTTTATTCGGTCATGCCTTTATGAGATAACTATATTTTAAATATTTTATTCTAAAACAAATCTTATAATCATACCAATTCTATCCCAAATATGAAAAAAAAAAAAAACAAAGAAAACTATTATATAGATATAGTATCAAAAACCAATAAAAGGAAAGGGAAAATAAAGTCATTATTATTCCTTATTATCTAACTTTTATATTTTAATATTTCATCATTCAACCATTGATAGAAAAGATCCCAAACTAAATAAAATTGTTTATCTTCTTGCTCTCTAATTTCAAAAGTCAATCTACTCATCTCAGCACATTCCAAAATTTTCTTTACAACTTCTTCTTGCAATGGAATTTTCTCATTTTTCCAATTTTTTGCAAATACAATCCTAGCAGCAGTCAATACATTTACAATCAAATATTTCAACTCTTTACTATAAGTATCTGGTAGTATTCCCAATAGAAAAAACTCCGGTTTCAAGTCTATATGCTTCTTTGTCATTTTTTCCAGCCACATGTGGATTTTAGTCCAATATTTTCTAGCATCCTCACAAGTCCACCACATGTGATAGTATGAACCAGGTTTCCGATGACATTTCCAGCATTTTTCGGATTTGTTCTTGAACATTCTTGCTATCCTTGTCGGGGGAAAATGCCACCTGTAAAACATCTTATACAAGTTTTCTTTATAGGCTGTAGACATTGTCATTTTATAATTTTGAGACCACAGTTTTTGCCATTTCTCTAAATCAATCCCATATCCAAAATTCCTCCCCCACGCAATCATAGTTTCTTTAACTTGTTCTTCCTCAAGCTTAATTTGCAATAAATAACCATACAATTTTTTAATCACCTTTTCATCAGTACCCATCAAAATCTTATCCAAGTCAGTTTGCTTATCATAAAATCCCCCTGCTTTGGAATCCTCATAGTACTTTGAATGTATTTGCAAATATGAAAACCAATTCATCTGTATACCTTGTTCTTCCAATTTTTGCATCGATTTAAGTTCACCCTTTTCATCTAATAATTCCCCATAGTTAACTGTTTGTTCCTTTTTATAAATTATAGGATAAGAGAACGCTTCTATCGTCGATAACCAAACTGGAATTTTCAAATAACACTGTTTTTTTATCTTCTCCCAATTCAACCACAGAGACTCCCGTATATAATGTCTTCTAAAATACCCCTGTGTTTTAGTTCCCTTGTACCATAAAAAAGCATGCCAGCCCAACAACAAATCATGACCTTCTAATGTCAACAATCTGGTTTTCCTTAATGTTATCCATTCTTTAACCCACGTCAAGTTTGCAGCTTGGTAGTACAACTCCCAATTAGGCAGACCAAACCCTCCTCTAAATCTAGCATCCTGTAAAAGCTTTAACTTTATTCTTGCTTTCTTGCCTTGCCATATATACTTCAAAACAATTTTATTTAAATCCTCAAAGTATTCTTTTCCAAGCCTAATTGGTATTGTTTGAAACAAAAATAAGACTCTGGGTAAAATATTCATCTTGATTGTTGAAATCCTTCCTATTAATGACAATTGTAAGTTCTCCCATTTTTTCAAATCTTGAGCTATCTGTTGTTTAAGTTTAATATAATTATTCTCCTTCAATGTACTACATCTTGATGTCAAATATATCCCCAGATACTTAACCTTGTTTGTAACTTGAATTTTTAACAGTTCTGCCAACTCTTCCCTTTGTTTCAGCAACATATTCTTTGACAAAATCTTTGTTTTATCTCTATTTATTTTCAAACCAGCCACCTCCCCATAGACCTCTATCTTTTCCAACAGTTTCCAACAGTTTCGAGGGGGCCGCACAGCCCTCCATGTGCTCGCCAGAGGTAGCCTGACTGCCATTAGGTACCGAGATGAGATCCTCAGACCCCTTGTGAGACCAAATGCTGGTACGGTTGGCCCTGGGTTCCTCCTAATGCAAGACAATGCTAGACCTCATGTGGCTGGAGTGTGTCAGCAGTTTCTGCAAGACGAAGGCATTGATGCTATGGAGTGGCCCGCCTGTTCCCCAGACCTGAATCCAATTGAGCACATCTGGGACATCAAGTCTCGCTCCATCCACCAACGCCACGTTGCACCACAGACTTTCTTGGAGTTGGGGGATGCTTTCGTCCAAGAGTGGGAAGAGATCCCTCAGGAGACCATCAGCCACCTCATCAGGAGCATGCCCAGGCATTGTAGGGAAGTCATATAGGCATGTGGAGCCACACACACTACTGAGCCTCATTTTGACTTGTTTTAAGGACATTACATCAAAGTTGGATCAGCCTGTAGTGTTTTTTTCCACTTTAATTTTGAGTGTAACTCCAAATCCAGACCTCCATGGGTTGCTCAATTTGATTTCCATTGATAATTTTTGTGTGATTTTGTTGTCAGCACATTCAACTATGTAATGAACAAAGTATTTAATAGGAATATTTCATTCATTCAGATCTAGGATATCTTATTTTTGTGTTCCCTTTATTTTTTTGAGCAGTGTATATATATTGTTTTTGGTATGTTTTTAGAATTTTTCTTTTTACATTTTCAAGGGGAAGTACCAAGCAGAGTCTGAATGATGAGATTTACATGATATAAAATAGATATTTGAAATTTGAATGTTATAATTTTAGAATGCACAAATTTATGTTTCATGAGATTTCATATGATAATAACAATAAGACTTAAAGGTTTTGCACTCCAATTGGCAATCATAAAGGAAATTTTGTTTTTTAAGAATGTTGGAAGAGAGCATAATGAAATTGCAAACAAGACAGACGAAAGTATAAGTATAATGAATAAAAAGATAAAGAAATTTAGGTAAAAAGAATAGCAAGAATGTTCAAGAGCACATCTGGAAAATGTTGGAAATGTCATCAGGTACCTGGCTCATATTACCATATGTGGTGGACTTGCGCGGATGCCAAAAAATATTGGACTAAAATCCACATGGTGGGAAAAAATGACAAAAAAGCATATAGACTTGAAACCAGAGCTAATTTTATTGGGAATTTTACCTGAAATATATAGTAAAGAATTGAAAACTTTGATTGTAAATGCATTAACAGCGGCTAGGATTGTATTTGCTAAAAACTGGAAAAATGAGAAAATACCAACACAGGAGAAAGCTATTAAGAAAATATTGGAATATGCTGAAATGAGTAGATTGACATTTGAAATCAGAGAACAAGAAGATAAACAATTTTATTAAATTTGGGATCTATTCTATCAATGGTTAGACAATAAAACATGGTAATGAAATATGCAGATTGTTAGAACATAATGAATATATAAAGATGTATTTTTTAAATTATATCTACAAAATGATTATAGGATAGATTTGAGATGATAATATGAACTGTCATAAAACAAATTAAGTAAAATATGGATTATTTTGTAAAATGTGAATGAATAATAGTATAGTCAAATGATTGATTAACAATGATATTAATGTATTTAGGAATATTTGATTGACAATATGAGAACATATACAATGTAATTGTAATTGAAGACTACAAAGTGGAAGCACAAAACAATTTGTAAACCAACTGACACACTGTATGCACATATATGGAAGATGGTTTGATGTTTTTATGTTGTGTTTGTTTACGTTTGTCTTAAAAACAATAAAACTTAAAAAAGAAAAGAAAAGAAATTTAGGTAAAAGAAATATAATTAAATAAGAAGAAAATGAGATAATCATAAAAGAAAATTAAGAGAAGTAAAGGGAGAAATAGTGAGAAGTTGGAAAAGAGTAATAAAATATGAAGTTGAATATATAAGATGAATATGCATATGAAATTGTGTCTGTATGGAAATGTGATAACCCGGAACCATGCTGTACTCAAATAAGATGTTTTATTTGTTTTGTTAAAATTCAATAAAACTTTATTTAAAAAAAAGAAATTACTGAAGCTAAGGCCGCCACCTTCCTGTGGAGGGTGTTAGGCACAAGGCCCTTGTCCAGCCCATCCTGGAGAAACTGAAGGATCTCTGGAACAGATGCTGAAGAGGGGTTCTGGGCTCTCTCCCAGCACCAGTCACTGAATTTTCTCCAGGTGGCATCGTAAAGTCGGGTTGTAGACTTTTTACGTGAAGCCTGTATTGTGTTAATTACACTATCTGAAAGGTTGGCCTCCTTCAACAACTTCCACTCAACTGCCAAGCGGTCAACTGGAACCATTCAGGTTTCAGATGCAGAAGGGCCCCCTGACTGAGAGAGATCTGAGAGGCCAGATTCTCCAAGGCCTCTGAACAGACAGGTTCACCAGGTCCGCAAACCAAGGTCTCCTGGGCCAATATGGGGCCAGCAGAATCAGCTCTGCCTTTTCCTCCAACATCTTCTGGATAACTGCTGGGATGATTGGAAGTGGGGGAAAGGCGTAGTGGAGACCTGGGGGCCATCTGCTCCAAATTGCATTGGTCTCCTCCGCTCCCTGGGTTGGGAACCTGGAAAAAAACATGTTCACCTGTGCATTCTGGGGAGTGGCGAAGAGATCCACCTCTGGAGTTCCAAAAATGTGGGACATTCTATGAACAGGGAGGATGGAGTCTTCATTCTGAGTGGTCGACTTGAGATCGACTCAACCAGTCTGCTTGGGAGTTGTCAACCCCCAAAATATGGTCCGCCCTGAAAGACAGGAGGTTCCTCTCTGCCTATCTCCCCAGACATTGCATCAAACCCCTGGATCTGGTCCCTCCTTGCCTGTTGACATGAGCCTTGGCTGATATATTGTCTGTCATGACTAGCACATGGGACCCTGACACCAGGTTCCGGAAATTTCTCAGGGAGAGAAAAATAGCCCTGAGCTCCAGGAAATTGATGGGAAGGGACCTGTCTGAAGATGGCCAGTGTGCTTGGGCCATCTGGCCCTGGGTATGTGCTCCCCAGCTGAGAAGGCTGGCGTCTGTGATCACTACTATTCTGTCTCTCACCATAAAGGGATGATCCTTTGTGATGGCCTGGGACTGCCACCATCGAAAGGACCAAAGCTCCTCTGGAGAAAGCAGCACCCTGTGGGCAGAATGACTGATCCCCTCTCTTTGGAAGGGGAGGAGGAACCACTGCAAGGTGCGTACATGTAGGCGTGCCCATGGCACAACTTCAATGCAGGAGATCATCTTCCCAAGCAACTGGGACAGGAGGGAGAGTGGAACAGAGTGACGTAGTCGAATTCTGTTGATCAACTCGTTGATGCTGCCCTGTCAGTCCTGTGAAAGGAAGACTTCACAGCTGATTGTGTTGATGACCCCGAGATGCAAAGTCGGGTCATTGGAGAAAGATGGCTCTTGATCAGGCTGATGGAGAAACCATGTTCCTGCAACACCTGCATCGTGATTTGAAGATCTTGTTTGGCCACCTGGTTGGAGGTAGATTGAATCAGAATGTCATCCAGGTAGCATTGGACCCTCACAGGTACAGCTCGGAGGAGGGCTGCCAATGCTGCCAGGACCTTAGTAAAAACCCTTGGTGTCAATGAAAGCTCAAATGGTAGGTATTGGTAGTGCTCACTGCAACAAGAAAAATGGAGGGACTGGCGATGGGGAGGCCAAATTGGGATATGGAGGTAGCATCCATGAGGTCTATGGAAGAGAGGAGATCACCCTCCCGGACACTCTGAAGAATAGAATGTAGGGTCTGCATCTTAAAACACCTATATGGGATGAATTTGTTCAGGAGCTTGCTCTCCACCCCACCCCCCCCAAGGCCTTCGAGATAACAAAG